TGAAGGTCAACTGATCAGTCCATGATCGCAAACGTGAAATCCAAAATTAGGCATTTATCAAGCGAGTTCTGGGGATCTAACATACCCAACACGGGCAGACAAGAAAGTTACGCTATGTTGCTGAAAAGTATCTAAACTGCACAACAGAGAGAACTTAACAATACCGAAAATAACAATATTTTGTCCCTAAAGAATGAGAATTCGCTGACCGTATTAGAAAAGTAAGGGTCGATAGAGAACAAAAATCACAATTAAACGCTGGTGAGACAGACTGTGGAATTGTAAGTTTTCGGGAGGTCAGGCTTTGACAGAGAAAGATGCGTAATTTAAGTGGTCTTCAGAACTGTTACGTGGCTCTTGTTATACAAGAGATGCAAGAAAGTTTCACAGAGGCGCTATCAGGCTCTGTGAAATCTTCAAAACAGAAGCCTGAATGACCCAGGTTTCGGACAATAGGGCGCTGGATTTCGGATATTTTGAATTAATAAGAGTTGACAGGTACAAGAGTTTTTGAGGAGTAGCTCTGTTGATGGTAAATAATACCTCATTTACAGTTATCGATAACAGATCCCATGAAAAAGTAATGCGTGAATTAGTTAGTTACCGCTTTAAATGTTAGGCATGGAAGATGATGGTTGATTTCGTTTACTACAACCCAAACTGTTAGATGGATGATTTCTTGTTAAATAGGCTCAACATTCAGTCTTTAACTGTCCAGTGTTAAGACCAAGGACACTTGAGTGCACTTACGGTGGACTGCAAAATTCCAAAGCTTGTATTGTCCAGAAGTTTTTCCAAACAGAAGCCAGCTGATGCGGTCAATAAGAAGGCCCTTATGCAACTTGCAGGAAAAATAATAATGATAATTTATTCGCAAATAGAAATGAGTTACATAAGGCATGCTAGTTTACAGACAAGGGCAAAATGTTCAAAACGCTTTTTACAGAGAGCTTATATTTTTCACATAAGATTGGAAATAATGCTTCAGATTCAGGGAAGTACAATACAGTACTTGTGTCTTTTGCGTTGTGACAGACAATTGCTGGATGAGAATCACTACAAGTAAAATCCAATGTTGTGCACAACAAAAATTGATTATGTGAATGTGTGTTGATCTTCTCATGTGTTTGACTGGCTCATGGGTAAATCAACCAAGTCTTCGGGCGATATATTATTATTATTATAACAGAATCGTTATGTCGGGAATAGGATGAGCTTCTGAAAAAGAGAAAAGATGAGATGCCAGTGCAGTAGAATATTTTCTTTACTTACGGCTCTTTTTGACTGATCAGGCAACTAATCAGTGATACAGAAGTTGACGTTATACGCTTGCCACCGCTGAGACTCATGGTCCCAGTAATATGCTGAGATAGCTGTTCCGCCAAGAAAACCTGCAACATGCTTAATCAGGCACTTACAGTATAACTTGTAGGTTGGTATTTCATTAAAAACAGATATTGAACAATATAACTATAAGTGTTTTTCACATACTTTACTCCTCTTACTAAGCTTCCGGCTTCAATGTACTGACATCTAGCTTATGACTACAACTTCTATTCACCCTCTCAGAATCCTGCCCGCAGTTGCATTACCACAGTGTCTCTTAGAAACCTTACGTACACTCTCGTCAAGCTTACAGCTTATACAAAGCGCATTCCAATCTAAATTTTAAAACAAATTCATTCCTGAATTATGCAAACCACCCAAGAACTCTTTTATGCACCCAACCTTATTTGTAATCACTCGTTGAAAGTGTGGCTGTATTAAGCTTTGACTGTCGGTGACATGATGTATATTCGATATCAGAAACAGAAAATGTTTATTCCTCTAACAGTGAAACCTCTTACGGTAAGTGTGGTAGCAGTTTGGCAATTTGGTTTTACGTATTGTAGTTATAGTTTTTATATCATGACTGTATATGACGATATTATGATTGTTACCTGGCAATTTTTTTACTCTATAAACGGTATTGAGGATGAGGTTACTGGCGAAACGTAAATCCAAAGTATTGTGATGTCTGGTAGGGCCACCGAAATTATTAGTCCACTTCCGAAACCCTAAGCATTCAATAAATGATTTAAACGTTTAGATGCTTTGACTGGGAACCAAGATATTTCTGGTATGTAGAAGTCCCCACATATTGTCTTGCCAATAAACAATGAAGCAAATGCGAATACTTCTGACAGTATTACTAGAGCCCTGTTGGTGCGGTGAACTGCTTATAAACACAGCCGGACAAAAAAGGGACTGCATTTGAGTGTTTCATTACGACCCACACAGAATCTTGTAGTTTGTTCAATTCTAGGACATTACATAGGAGTGAGTTTAGGTTAGATTAGGTATATAGGAGGCATCCTCTACCTCGTCCTTGCTGCATATCACTTCGAAGCAATTATTTGTTTTCAGAAGATATAACTAGATCAGAAATATTACTGGCAGTCCATGACTAAGAAATCATTATAAGTGATGGTTGAAGAAGTGATACAAATGTGGCCAAATCTGTCCCTACATTACAGGTCCAACGAGCGCTGCTATGACATACACTACGCAAATGTCCGGTTAAACTAAAATATTTGACAGTACCTTGAGTATAAGAGTCATTATGGCCTTCATGAGTGTAATATGGGTTTGAAGTTAGGGAACGGTTTTTCGAGTGAGCACTCAGTTAATGACAAGAGTCGAAAGGAGGCATTTTAAGTAAGTTACTTTGAGAAGTTGTTAGCCCGGAGAGACGAGTAAAAATGTTGCCTGTTTGAGACTGTGTGTGGTGTGAAGTGATTTGTGACGTATGTCTGGCTTGAGGCACCACTAGGGGGTATATCCAAAAGAACCTTGGATAGGCTGACTATGCAGCGAACCACAGCTTTAGTATAGTCTTCATTATATATTTATTTGGATTGGTTTTAACTTGGGAAGGGTTTGCCGTATATAACCGCAAGTTGTTATGAGCGTTTTTAATTTGGGTGATTGCTATAATGCTGCTAAGTAACTATTCAAATCCTACCGACGTTCAAATTCAGATATTCTAATACGACCCCAAATACTATTCCCAATCTCCTATATATTAGAGCACAACACCGTTAGATGAAGTTGTTTTTGGGGTCGAGTACAGTAGACAGGAAGGCAGGAAGGAATGCAATGAAAAGCTTTATAAATAATGCCTGTTTATAGATTTAGGTCAAATAAGAAAGAGTATCGAAGTCTGTGACATTGACAGTTGAGACGACCAATAGGAAACAACATTTGCAGTGACATGAACAGTCAGGATGACCAATAAGAAACAACATTGGAGTACGCGACATTGATATCCAAGATGACCATAAAATTGACCAGTAGGAATTAACCAATAGGAATTGACCAATAATTATCTTAGGATATTGGATTAATATCCTAACAGTGGTCGTTTTTACCTGCAAGATTCGTCTGAGTGTTTGGGTGTCGGTCTCACCTTTGCTTATTATAGAGAGGTTGGGAGCACATCACAGGATATTCAATAGGGTGAACCTGTTGATCATAGCTGGGTGAGTCGTGGGCAAGTTGGTTTCAATCTTACCCATATTTTACTCGAGGCCCAAGATTTAGTTTATTCACTCTCCCTTGTTAAGGGTGGGGAGTGTTTTGATGCCCTGGACGCGCTTCTTTAGACAAATTCTAGTTCTTTCTGGTCCTCTCGTGTAATATATTTAGGAAGACTAGTCTTCAACTGATTAACTTTAACTTAATTCGTGTTGTTTTGTAACACATTTTCAAACAATTTAAAATTCAAACAGTTTGGATTGCAAATTCAGGTGTATTTAGATTTACCGATGACAGTCGAGATTCGTACCTTACTTGAAGGTTTAGACTCATCAAGATCAACAAGGCGACTTATCATATGTGCATTCATTTCTTGTTTTTGATCGATGCGTTTATTATTCGTTACGGCACTGTAGGTTTTCTTCATTTGATTAACGGCTGTGATACAGCTATACAATCTAGTCGCCTTTCATCTTTTTATACATTAACCAGGCGTTAGATCTGGAGTAATCTTTTTGTCTCTCTACGGGGTTGATAAGCTAATATTTTATTCAAATGAATAAACTGTTTGATGTCCTTACAGCATCCGAATTTGAAAAAATGTGTGTTTGTTGATTTATCAGATTTTTTCTGATAAACTGATGTTTGCTATACCACATGCTTGAAGGTAGGTATCCCGTAGCTTGAGTGGATATTTGCAGTCGAAGGGAAACCATACGCAACCGCATTGTAGGAAGACATGGTTCTTTTCGTAACTTCCTTAACTACAAATCCTAGAGTGCAGTCAGAATTAGTTAATTCCTTGAGGTTTCTATCATTATTCCAAGCTCATATGTGCGTAAGTAGTGATAACTGGTTAAGTTTATCGTTAATTCGGGCAAGTTAGTTTTACAACTGTCATATATTACTGCCACGATGATTACTACTATGATCCGTATAGGATGGATCAAACGACGCTTTGGTTTGTGAACTTTTAGTTTCTGACTTTACAAGAAAAAAGTGATGTTAATGCTGTGCTAACACTTCAGTATATGTTGGTATAATACATCTTATACCCAAAAGTTTCACTGATGGTTTACAAAATATAAAAAGAAATGTTGTCATACAGATTAGTACCTAGTGGTAGCGAAGTTTACCGATAGACGTAAGGCTCAAAAGATGAAGGTCTGACTCTTCCAATTACCGATCCATCAAGCACGGGGTTTACAGATCTTGATCTTTTAGTTAGTTTATAAGTTCTTGATGTTTCTGTTTCACTCGAGTTATTGGTTGTATTTGAAAAATGTTCTTATACAACAGCACTCATTCAAATCACTGAACATTACAATTCACTAATAACTGCCAGCTGACTAGAATCAGTGAGGTCGAGTGACTGTACTGTCCATTGAACACTATCAAGTACCTGGAACCGTAGTGGAAGAAAAAGAAAGGATCAAAAAGAAATCAGTCGGTTTATACAAGCTCGCGAAAAAGGTATTGGATATCGGAACTGAAAGAGGCATAATTAAAGTCTTAAGGTCGTTCTCAACATGACTGTTGGAGATAAACTATCATGTGTGCAGCAGATGTTATCAAATCGGAAGGTAATATCAGATATCAAGCACTCAATCGCTGTCAAGTGTGAAAGCGTCATAAAATCCCCGGAGGAAAATGTAACTTGTACTTTCTTATTTGTCTCTGAAGATTCACTCGCTGAGGGATATAATAAAAACTTTTGAATCCGAACATTTTCGAAAATTCAAGCAAATTAGGTCCTTGATTATTGCCTCCTTGTGTGTTGTCTTCAAAGATGTGTTACCTGCTTACCGTATACGACCTGCAACTGAGAAAGAAAAGACTCAACCAGTAACTAAAGGCAGAATAATTATGTCGTTTTGCAGACTAAGAAAGAAACCCGGAAAATACGGTATTATGAAGAAAACCTACTTTTGAACTACCGAAAATATACCGAGTTGCTCAGAGTTATCCTGGGAGGTATTTACAATAAACACTAATATTTGCAGACAAACATATGGACATGAAGTCTCCTCGTCTGAAAGCTTACTCTAAATTAGATTGGAATGAAGTAAGTCTTTAGTTATTTTATTGACTTCTTACAGAATGAAAGGCTTACTGCCATACGATGTGTTTGTCAGCTTCTAGAAAGCCATCCGGACTTCAACTACAGCAAAGAGTTAATAGAAGTCTTACCCCCTTACCTCAACAATACAACGACACAGGTGATAACCAAAACGTTATTAGATTATTTATAGGCTTCGTCAGTGATAATCACAACTCTAGATAATATTTTTGAGAATGATACTGACCGAGACGTCACTTTAATGGTATTATCTAAATTTTTAAGTTGACCTTTAAAGATCTGCCGTGCTATTCATCGCTTTTGTCGATCCAGGTCTTATAAAGTTGGAGTTTCAGTCATCAGAGCTTTGTCCTGTATCTCCATTACAGAAGTTGAACGCCATAATGAAAAAGAAAAACCTAAGGTAGATAGGCGTATGCGTTCACGACGTGAAAGAAAGGTTAGTGCTTAACTTTTTTCCATAAGGTAAAAGCATTAGACTTATTATTTTTAACTTCAATTACTCAGCATTATTTTTGGATTAGGTATACAAACTACACAGGGAATACATCAGTCTACGTATTATGTTTTTAGTAAAGCCAACTTAGTTATTCACCATTCAAGAAGAGATTTACATAGTCGGTGTTCAGGTATAATGATAGTTAATATTGTTATTTAGCCGCAGAGGCCCAGCAAAATTACACCTCACCAGGTGAAACAACTCGAAATATTTCTAATTATTGGTTTCAGACCTCGGTAGGTATGTTTAAAAGTTGTTCTAAGTAGTACAAATTGACTCTTTATTTTCTTTAACCCTTTACTTCATGCATCTTTTTGTACTATGCTGTATACAGTTAGTTACTTTGTTATCATCTTGGCGTCTTTGATTTCCGCATTGTTAATTTCTTCTTTCTAAACTTATATAGCAACTTAAAACAGTGTTCTGAAAAGACGAGCTGAGACACAATATCACCTAACACTTATTTCTACTTTCCATTTCGCACATTTCTTAAGTTTCTATAAATATCCTGACGTTGTGTTCGGCTTCTCATAAACTAATCAATACTAAGTGAAGGGAAACAGAAAATAAGATTTTTATACTCTACAACAGGAGGGAAATCTTGACAAATTTTAAGTCTACTCATTGATAACATAAACAAATAGTCGCGAGCAAAGTTGTTAACTTTGTAAATAATTTTTTTGTTAAAGTATTGTCCTACAAGTCATTTTTATTCTTTAGGAGTCCAAAATGGAGCGCAAACTTGAGAAGGAAATGGCTGAAACCCAATCCCTCCAAACTCGAGAAAAGCGTTTGAAAATGGTAAATGTGATTCCCTTCATGATATTTTTGAATGATAGAACACCTTGGTTATGAATGAAATACTGTTTGTTTTCTTCAAAATTTTGAAAACAACTTCTGACTCTGAGCTTTTGTCTGCGATTTTTAGAGGATTATCTAAGTAAATTCTTTTTAACTTTAATCGATATGTTCACAATTTTCCAGATACGCCAAGTTAATCAACACACAGTATGTAGACAACCTGCTGTCTGTTCTGAATACAATGGTAGCAAAAAAAGTAAGTAATTTCATCTTCTTGTCAAACATTATTTTCGGATCGTATGTAAAACGTATGAGCAATGAGACAGCTTTGGTTAACTTTACGTTGTGAACCATTTTTGTTTGTCCACTATTCACGCTCAAGTTAACAAACAACCGCGAACAACTTTTAACTTATTATTTAGACTAAGGTATCAACCTTATCTGGTTTTCCTGCATAATAATAATAGCTTCACACAATATCATAGATATCTATATGCGTAATATAAGCAAATAAAATGATATTAATGAAAGTTTAAGGAAATGAGAAACTTTGCAATCATCAATAAGGCGTAGGTACTATAAGCTCCTAGTTGGGTCAGGTTTTACAAACCCTTTGTCGCGTGGTGTATGTGCTCAATACGGCTTTGCAGAGTTTTTTCTAGTTTTCTTCTCTACTAGTTCTAATATACCTGCATATCGTTCTCACTCAGTCAGCTACAACGTAGAACTTCGTACGTACATACATCAGTTCAAGTTTCCATACCACAGCACAGAAACGCAACTGTCAGTTATAATCCCACGTTAGTAGAGATAGTAGAAGTATTAAGGGTAATAGAGAAGATTTAGGTTCGCGGATATTATTCAAGAATTATGATTCAGTGAAATTAATTTAGAAAGAGAAAGGTGATGATAAATTCATAAGACTAGAATTTAAGAGAACTCAAAGAGTGGATGCATCTGGACCATTACAAACGATTTTCCGCCATGTCGTTCAACGTCTATAACCATGGATTACCATTATCTGCTTTACTTCCTATCACCAGTTCAGGTGCCGACACAAGCCAATCCTGAAGCAACATTTTGCATTTCAGCGGGGAGAATCACATCCCGAACATGCTTGCATTGTTGCTTAGAGTAGTTAGACTGTATATCGTTTTGACAAGAGGCATACAAGAAAACGGAACTGAATTATGTAAATGGCGTGGTAAAATAACACTTCATCTGTTTGTGCGAATTCAAATGTCTGTCGATAACCTGATTTACAATATCATCGAACAATTCGCTCTCAAATAACAATAGTTTAAAAGTAGAAAAAACTAAAAGATTTCATAAAGCAATGACACAGTGAATATAGAGTAAGTAATTTTCTGTTTCCTAAAACAAATTCCATCAGACCTACTTACCAAGCTTGTCACAAAATTGAAGATTTTACTGATTTAATTGTTCCAATACATCCAAACAATACTTTATCAAAATGATTCTCGCATTATAAGTATTGTAAACTGACAAAAGTCTGTCAGCACTTCTGTAAATTACCAAATACTTCAACAACTAAAATTAGTTTGACGACAAGAAACTAATCTTACCTAGCACATTTCACTCCATTTTGGTAAGCAAATATCTGGAAGAGCGTGATTTTTTAAATCTACATTATGGTAAAGTCTTCCAAGCAGAAAAAACTTAATAAAATTAAACATGCGAAGAAGTCATGTATACGATTAAAAGCCTTATGATGGAAGTCTGTTCTTTTTTAGATGCTTCACAAAAGTGTTGGTTTAATGCCTATGTCATTCGAGTATACTCATATGCTACAGAACCACGTTGTAGTTAGCATCTTCGTTGATTCACCAAATATTCAAATAACTGCTTTTTGTTAAAGCTTTTCCATTATGTACGTGTATTATTATTTATTTTCTGCAGTCAACCAGTATTGTGGATAGCCTACACTGTGTACATACAGCATTGTGTATTATATCATCATCTGATGCATCTGATGTTCTCACTACGGATCCTACTTCATTTTGCAATCATCTGTACACTATCTTGGGACGCATTGCGGGTGTCGGTATAGATAATATAACACAAACTGAAAGTTCAATCTCAAACTTATCTTCTGTACTGAAAGCCTATGATCGTTCAAATACTCCAGCTGCTCAAGCTGTTGCCAATCTTGTAAAAAGATCTAAAATCACGGAAAGTTCAGAGAAAACATGTTCAAATGAAATCACTTCTGCTGGTGCCGGTATAAGCAAAAGGATTAATGCATGTGAAGTTGAAAATTTATCAGATACTCTTATATCTTGCTTAAATATGCTTCTTGTGAGAAGAAAACATGAGGTTTCAACTAACCGAATTCTCGCTTTCGCAAAACGTTTAGCTAGCGCAGCTTTGACGATTGTAAGTCTCTCAATATTTGGGTAAACATTTTACTTATTTTGAAACAGAACATTTAATATAGTCACATATATAAAGTGAATAAACCCGGATTGGATATTCAGAATATTTGCCAAAAAAATTGAAGATAACGAAACCAAATGACATTGAAAATTCAGTATTGAAATAAAAGCCTATCATCAAAACTAAACCATGTGTAAAGGTATTGATATACTACCTACCTCGCGCACAGCAACCAGATAACATACTTAAAAATCACGCTAATCACCACTCAGTTTTTGACGCATGTGTATATTTTTTTTCGGAATCAGCATAATATCCACTTTCTTCCTTATTTGTTACGATGCCCAAGCATTGAGTCTTAGTTGATCGGAGAGTGATTGACCCATAAACTGATTTTCTATAATCGCCTCTGACGGTTTATCAGTTTTATTTAGTGTTAACACTTTATACATGTTACGCATGGACGTAAGCACATCAATTTAATATGCTTGAAGTATTACGAGTTTACTTAAGTCGGAAAACGAGATCGAGGATCCGGCGACACGACAGGCTACTCTAATCCGAGCGTCCCAAATCCCTATTGGATAGAAGAAGACTTGATATAAAGTAGAACCTGTGTTCTACAAGCATCCAGAAAGTACACTGTCCTAGTCCAGAAGAGAATCAGGATCCCGGACTAGGGATTCGGGTCGTAAAACGTTACAGATAATGCGTATTTATACAGTTAGGTCGAATAGGAAACAACATTGAAGTCTGTAACATTGAAAGTTTCGACGACCATAATATCGACCAGTAGGAAATTGACCAAAAGAATTAGACTTTCAAAAATAATTGTCTTTAGTTATTTGATGAATATCCTAACAATACACAAGCACATTATTTTACTACTTAAAAGGTCTATTCTTCTAGCTGGTGGTGTGATCTTTGATTTCAAATCACTCGGGTTTGCGTCAACAATTAAGGTACCGTGAATACCGGTAATTTAGCCACATATAATTACATACCTGTCAATTAATACACCTTCTGTTTATTTTAAAAATCGAAAATTTCGTTTAGAAAAGCTTTAAAAGCCTATCCCCTAACAATGGCAACGGGGATATATTTTCGAAAAATGAACGAGGAAATCGGTATTTTCCCGACTTAATGAACATCAGTAGCTATTCGAAATCAATAGTTATCTGAATAATGCTTAAAAAGTTTAGTTGGCGTTTAATTTGATTGTATCCTACTTAGTTACAGCATTTAATAAATAGGGGTTTAGTTTTAAAAAATCAACATATTTGGAAATTAGGAGGAATGGTAGCGGCATTACATAAAAATGAACTGTTGAAAATGTATATTTTAAACAATGTTTTAATTCCACTCATAACCAGGTAAAGTATGTTAATTAGCGTTAGTCGAGTCGATATGCTAACTAGTAATCTCCAGGACTGTTCAATTCGTATTCTTGAAGTCACAGATGGACTAGTAAGTCAGAGAGAATATTGGTCGCTCTCGATGTCACTATGATTTGTAATTCGACTAAGGCGTGAAATAGTGTACAAATTCACTATTAATTTACCATAAACACCACTTATGGGTTTATGCTTTCAGCTTAATACTATGAAAACGAAACAGGTCTAAAATCCAGTGACCAAGGGTCTTAAAACGTTGGTTTACTTCGCGATTGAATTACTGGTTTAAATCCCGCAGATCTGATCAAAGTGTTCTCTAGTAAAGTCTTTCAAAAGATTTAAATTTTTTTTTCCGTTAAAATATAATATAAGTTTCAAATTCAAGTATTAACTAGTTTCATTAAAAAAATTTTTAATTTCAGTCAGATCCATATTGTTCCAGTTCTTTGCTTATCAAGCTTTTTCATCTTCTCCGTCTTTTTCCGCGTTGTGAAATTCTATTTGAATGTGATCCAGAAATATGCAATAACTATAGATCAGATATAAATGATCCAGAATTATGCTTTCCTGCAAGTGCATGTCTGTGGGACCTACTTTTATTAAAAAAACATCATAGTCCCATGGTAAGAACCTTTTTCAAACAGTAATTTCAGTCTATACTATTTAGTCATAATATGCTAATATTACCCTAATGGATTCACTATTCAGTGATCAATAAATCTACAGTTAAATTATTATTTTAAAGTGAGGACTAGTTAAAATTATAGAGCACCGTGAGCTTGAAAAGACAACACAGTCTTTATGTCATGATAGTTTCTTAATGGAGAGATATAAGTACATCCACAGAGTTAAATTGTTTATTAAAACTACAATTTTTGAGTAGTTTTGTTTATTTAGCATCTGTATCATCTGTGTACACTAGACTATAAAAACATCTGTTGTATAATGGTCATTCGTATAAGACCAGACCTTGAGTTACTGCTTTTAGTCTCAAGGTTCTCGAATCGACCTGCCTGGCATGGTAGAATTTAAAGGAATATATTTTTTAGCCTATATAGCCCGGACGGGTCATCTGGGTAGGCAAGCCCGACCACCATATCAAGATGGCAGCTACGTTCTAGAGTAGCAATAAATCAGAATCATTGTAATAATAACAATAATGGAACTGTCCAAACTTCGTAAATATTTTCGACAAACTTGCTATTTATTTTTAACACTTGACACATATCATGCATTATTTCATGCTCGTTTTTTAAATTCTTTCTTTCTAGGTAAATCAATTAGCTAATTTAATTATGCAATGGGGAAATGATGTTTGTGTTGGCGGGATAGGAGCCACTTCGACAAAACTGTATATGCTACATATCGATGGGAGACAAGTTTCTTTAGACCATCTAACGCATATGTCATCTGACGATCTTCGTATTGAATTGAAGACACTTATTGAGAAAGATATAACGGTTCCTGAAATACCGTCCACACAAAAAATAAACATGTCAGATTTTCAGTTGTCGGATTCTTTCATAAAATATTTATCAGAAAATGATCTAGTTTCAGATGTTGAACCACCAGCAAAGAAATTAAAATCGTAATAATATTTTATCTAAAATAAACTAGCATTTCCGCAAAGTTCAGTGTACTAAATGACATCTGAATAATCTACTTTCACGTCTACACTAAGAGATTATTGTACAGTCAAAATTATTTCACAACAAACACGAAATATCAAATTGGTATTTAAATTTTTTTATTGTGTATGGTATAAGCACTACATTCGATTTACAAAAATATAGACAATAACCAACAATAAACTATCAGTTGTTGATAATCAATTACTTCCTTTTTTACAGCTATTCTTAATTCACTGTGAATATATGTATTTTGTCTATCTGGTTATAATTCTCTCCAGTCAAATGCATAATAGATTTACTGCTGTATTAGAAGTAAAAACCTAAAACAATGCGTTAATGTGAAATTCTACCAACCAACATTAGAAGGCTATCTGATACTGATATTGTAATGCCATAACACTTATTGAAATTTTTTGGAGAAGCAGCTTTCGCGCTGTTCACTTCTACCCATAATAATTCAGAAAGGCACTATCAATTTGGTACATGATAGCTTCTGCAAATGCTTCGACTGATCTATCTTTTAGGGGCATCGCTACTGAAAACTGGTTGAACTAGTCTATATATGTCATTTTATTTGTATCCATATGATGTACGTAAAGATCCCACTATGTATATGTGGATATTTACAAATACATTATCTGGTTCCATGAACCTGCCTGTTGGTGGACTGTGTCAATGCATTTTCGACACGATAAACAAGTTTACACGCAGTGTCGAACGTGTACCTATCACTAACCAACGTAACTATCGTATTAATACCGGGGTATGAAAGGTTATCTGGTTTGTTAGAAATCGTCACTAATGATCGTAGTACGGAGATGTAGATAGTCATCAGCTATTACTTAGATCAAATAGTCAATCTATGCATAAAGGGATCAATCCTGAACTATCTGTTCAATTAAACAAGATGTTTCTAGGACATAATTCAATTGTAGTTCGCTACTGTTTAGACTGAATTCACATCATAAGACATCAGTATGCAACTGCTTTATTGTTAGTACGCGGTAGTTGGTGCATGTTTGACACATTCCATCTTTTAGAATCTTATCAGCACAATGTTTTGGCAGAGGATAAACTATACAATTAAATGTCTAACTGCAGCCTCATTAGTTTGGTTTTATCAGTGCAGGGGACTCTGAAAACAACTAGGCTTTGTTGTTACCACTAGATTAGAATCACGGATCATAAATTATTCAAAATACCTTTGGTCGACCTATTATGCTTATCGATCATAGTTGCTTTCTTCTACCTACAGCAACAGAAAATTTAACGAGGTAACAATGTTTGTCAACCGTGATGTGGGCATCAATATATTTGTTGGTTATATTAACGAACGAAAGAAAGTTATCATTTGCCTTGACATCAATTAGATATTCTTGTCGCTGTATACACATGTCAGTTCCGTAAAGATCAATCATGAACTTCACGTACCAACCATCACAAGTTTTAAGATTATCAGTGATGAAGTAAATCTTCACGAAAATCAATATGCCCTTGCAAACTCATATCAGCACCAAAACACGGAAAATAAATGTTCGGTAATCGCACATTAAATGTAGCCTAACATAATTTCGGATGCGTTTAGTTGTTGACTAAGTAATAATGCGTTGATGTTTCAACGAAGCTTCTAGCCTTGCACTAAAACATCAATAAAAACAATTCGTTAGTCATCCAAAAGATTAATTTATTGACCAGGCACGTGTTAGTGACACTATCCGGTTGCCCTGATAGAAATTAGCGAGGTGGGGTTCGAACCGGAAGTCAAGCGCTTTAATTTAGCAATGTGAAAGGATTGGACTATCTTTTTGAAGACCAGTTTAGTAGATGTTATGAAGTTTGGAAACTATTATTTACAACCAGTTATCCAAATGAATGACGTTTTCATAAGAACAGACTTAATAGTCACTTTAGCTATTGTTCGATCAATTATTGAGTCTACTTAATAGGTTTCAATGCAAACATACGAAAAAACAAAAATATTTATTTCTTAGTAGTGAGGCTACTTAAGTGAAGTTTGAAGATCATATAAAAAAAAGCTACCAATCACTAGAAACTTTTCAAGAGCCTTTGCATCAGTACAAATGCTGAAGAAGCTGACAGTTAATACGGATTTAAAAGAACACAAACTCATCAAATCTCGAAGCAATAATCAAATAGATGGACCCATGAGCAATAAAGGAAAAAATGACTCCTACATTGTTTAGTAATGTGGAAGATGATTACAAAAGGTGTATTGACATTACATAAGTTAGGAGATTAAATTACTTTACACTGCAGAACGGTATGTGTATAAAGTGAATCAAGATCTTTTGCACACATCTTAAACAAGTAAATATGGCTAAATGAATGGTGAGAAACGAGTAAAAAAAACTCTGAAATTATCCGTTTAAGTTGTGTTCCAGGGATAATAAAAATATAACGCTGCGTTGATGAGACATTAGGAAGATGAAAGATTTAAATTAAACTTATTATCATTGCAGATATCTTTCTGCCATGATTAAAACTTCAGGAAGCACGAAACTTGTTTTCCTTTGTCTCAATTACTTAGTGCAATGACGCATTCCAGCGACAAATCAGTACTCCTTAACAACCACATGATTTCTCATATGGATGATATCAAGTTAAATATGACTGTAACACACTATGTGTCCTATCAAATTTATCTATTGTTTCAAAATTCATTTATTCTCTTTTGTTGTATGTTACTGTATGACTTGTACATTGAAATGAATAATACTCTTCTGTTATAATGAACCATTTCCAATTTAGACATTTTGATTTATTCTCTTATTCGTGAAAATGTGTCCACCCTTCTGCTCTACTCTTGTTAACTGCTGATATTTTGATCTGACAGTTACATATTGGTTCCTTATTTACATAGACGGTATACTTGACAACTTACGACTCAAAGTTTTTATGAGCCCTTTTCTTTTACATAAGATTATTATATCACAATTACGTCTTTAGTTTCAAAGCACTTATGTATATATAGACTGATTGTTAAGTTAGAATACTTTAACGGATTCTAGAGTTACGTTATTGATATGATTTGCAAAATGTATTACTATGATTATTATATACACAAAATATGACAATGAAAATTAAAAGAAATAAAATAAAAATACATCATAATCGAGGTTTAATTTTTGTTGGACTTTGATTGTCACCTAACAGTTTTGTCAGGTCATCGTAACTGAGAACCTCATTTTTTACAAGAGCATCAATAAGTACTAATAGTTTGTTCTTATTCTCTTCTAACATTTTCACAGAACGAGAAAATGCTGAGGATACAAGTTGATTAGATTCTAGTTCCATAAGAGATTCAGTTTTTTGACAGAACGGCTTCACAGAGAACTTCCCACTGGACGATTCATCCTAAAATATAGATAAACATTATTACTTAGTAACTTCGCATAATAAATATGCAAAAATATAAAATGTAAGTACCATATTTCTTCAAATGACTGAAGTCAATATTTATCTATAGTTCCGTATCAATTGACAACCTGACTTAAATAACTGCTTGAGACTTGACTACAATTCATACATAGTCTTAGGCGAAGACAGTATTAACAGACAAGTCGTAATTACACTAAACTCTAACTACAATCTAAACAGATGGCCTAACACATATCCATATGACAAATGGCTGACTTCAATGTGATCTAATTGATCCCAAGTCCCAGAATAAGACAGACAGACAGATACAACGCAGAATTTCGTACGTAAGTACATCAGTTCAGGTTGCTATGCCCCATCAGCACAGAGACGCAACTGTCAGTTCAATTCCAAGAGTGATAGCAATAAAAGAAGGATTAGCAGTAATAGAGAAGATTAGAAAGCGAAGATATGATTCGAGAAGTATAATTCAGTAAGATAAATTTAGAAGAAGAAAGGTAGAGATTATGAGGAATTCAGAAGCTTAGAATTTCATAGAACATAAAGAGTGGATGCACCTGCGCCATTGCAAACGATTTTGATCCATGTCGTTTAAGGTCTCTAACCATCGGTGACTATCGTCTCGCGGACCCCAACCAGGTAGCCTACATCTACCAACATGACTCAGCACACGAGACCAAATTGGTCAAAATCAAATCCTTCTTACACCCCCTAGTACCTCTCAGAATAAGAGGGAACCGCATTCACAATTACCATCAGAAGATGGTCATGACAAAAAACAAACTAAGGTTCATAGAAGACGGACTCAGCATCTGGTGTCTAGAAATATTCGCACTACGTAAACAACTTTCTTTTCTGTCTAAACAGCCTATCAACCGGTTCAAGCAGCCTGTTAGCATTACGATATCTGTTGAATGCAAATGCTTGAGAATAATTAATTAGTCATAGAACTAGTACATGGTTGCATAGAAGTTGTAAGCCTCCGACGCATACGGTTGAAATCTTTTTCTTTTGTAAGTACTTCTGCATATTCTAACTTAACACTGCATAAATAAATACCAATGAAGTCATGGGTTAGTCTAACAGATATCTCAGATAAACCTGAACAAAACTATTTCTCAATAGATAGGTAGAAATTAAGTGAGTGACTGGGAATTTTAAAGTAAGCTTTTTTGATGCAACGCAAGATTTCTCAGTATTATCTAAATCTATCTGTTATTTGGTCTGCACCAGGCTACAAAATTTTGAGAAACCAAGATTTAACGTTAGATCAACTAGATTTTCTTACTAGGGGGCAAACTTTGATAAAACAATTATTTACTAAATCTAAACAATACACAACCCAACATCTTTCAAAACTAGCGACTTAGGAGAATATCAATTAAATTTAGTGCACATTTTACATGAAAACTGTGATAAAAACAAATGGTTTAATAAGTTATTAAGTGTTTAGTCCAATTGTGAAGCAGTCAAAGAATTACCTAGATTCATTGGAACTCCAACTTTTATGCGCCTCAGTGCTCTCTACTTCCCAAAAACCGAAACTGAAGCAACCAGTATTTTTTTTATCAAAAATACACATGTGGCTACAAGTACAAACTGTTCACTGATATAGAAGAGACAACAAATATAATAGCTCATACACTGAAGGATGTATACAATATATACTCTAAAATCTGCCTAATTAATGATAATTAGTTAACGTAAATGTTGTTGATAGAAAACAGTGGATAAATATTTCAGTACACATTGAAGTAGATCAATTATTAAAAGTAAATTTTTAAAAAATTAAATAGATAAAGTGCTTCATCAGAGTTAGTAAACTTACATCAAAACTGAGATTACCAATAATCTTAGACATCCCAAATTGACGTACTTGCTTCATTGCTAATTTACTAGCTTCACGTAGATACTTTTGTGAAACTACATATTAATTGGACAAAATATAAAAATGATATTTCAGGATACATACAGACGTGAAGGAAATTTCGAAAATAGAAATGCAAAGCATAAAACTAATAAGCATTCAAATTTACTGAACGCTAAATAAATATGCGTAATTTGAAATAATGGATATGATAAACTTCCAAATGTAGGTAGGTCTTTTATACCTGTGATTTTTTCAAAATTGGCTGGGAAACGTACAATTAGACTCAGAAACAGAAATACCACCCTTTCAAAGAAAATAAGCTAGTCTGACAGTTATTTCTATTGATGAAGTTTGCATATACCCATCATATTATACGGTCAGTTGGAATAAAATGTAAGTGATTACATTTATCTGAAAATAAATATGTATGATGATTATATCTCACGACCTTGAAATGTCACATTTTCCTAAACATATGCCCGAATATAGAGTATAGTATAATTTTAAAACACGGTATCGAGATATAGGAGAAGAGTGAATCCATCTGTAACTGATTCTAAATCAAGTTAATCAAAATTTCCAACTACTGATCATGATAATTTCAAGGAACCTGAACAGGTAGTCCATAACAATCAATGCATCTCAGTCCAACAGCCAATGACACCAACTAACATCAGTCATCGAGATAAGGTGTGGTTGAACATATGTAACACTTCATTCGCTGGAGATTTTCATCACCAACCAATGTGGTATGTTTGTCTGGTATCCGCCTACCCTCAATACTAGTTACTGGGTGATTTCAATACACGTAAATGATCATTTGAATACATCTATGATCAAATACTGGTAAGCCTCAGAGTTTCTCTACTTTTAAAGGCCAGGACTTACTGCTATAAAGTAAGGCAGAGAACTGCCGAGCAGCTTTATTGTTCTTTAGTTGTCAGTCGGTTATCTTGCCTACCCTGAAGATAATGCAAGGTTGTGGAACCTAGGAGCGCTTTTTGAACTCATGTCAATATTTATGAAAATACACACCTAAATTGCAGACTACCTTATCCAGAATTTTACATGCCAATAAATATGGAGAGAAAACGTATTAAATCAATGAACATCATCAGAATAACATCTATAACTGGTTAGATCAAATGTAGATCAGTAATGTAAGTATTAAATTTATCAAATTACAATCCCCAAGCTCCAAGTTCGTATCTCGCTCGGCTTACTTTACATTTTGTAGTTGTACAGCATTATTGACCTTTATTTAAAACAAATAGTCGAAATGTTAAATGTACGAATTCAGACTTGGAAACTTAGTTGTCTGATACAGTGCCCAAAGACAGCGTAACGGTTACATCTCCATAGATTGGAGAATGAATAACCTACAAGCTAATTTACTCCAATCGCTAATGACTTTATCATGCTTATTTTGTGTGAGTATTTTGTATATAAGCACGTTATTATATTACTTAAAAACCTATTCATCTGGCTATCGGTCTTGTCTTCATGGGCTTAAATCAATAATATGGTCTCGTGAGCTAACATAACTCGGTCATATCACATCATTGCATTCATCTATCAATTAACATTCCCTGGATTTGACAATGAGAAATCTCACCTTGTCGATCATTGCAGACCTCCTACATAACATGGTCATATGGAATAGTGTATTATTGAATTTTTACTTTAACAATAAACACTACAGTGTATGAAGCTTACTAGTAACAGTATGCAGTGAAAAGTGTGTGATAAAGCTAAACTGAAAGTTTTAGTAAAGTAAAAAATGTATCTGAATGAAACTAAACATAAAACAAACTAACCGTCTGAAATTGCATTAAATACGACATGTTCAGCTGCTCTACCACCCAGTAATACAGACATACGATCAGCTAGATCATCAGTATTAAGTAGATGTTTTTCTTCTGATATTAATTGCGTAAAACCCAGATCTCCAACAGTATCTGGACCAGAAACTGTACGTGGTATAATTGAAACTTTTACGGGTAGTAATCCACTATCTGGAAGAAGCCATGCTACAAGAGCCCTACCAGACTCATGCACAGCAGACATGTGACGTTCACTAACCGTAAGTGGGTTGGAACGTTTTGCAGCGCCTAATCAATAAGAAAAAAGCCATTATTCATGACAAAATGATTTTATGAAAAATATTCTTTGAACTGATTTCGATTACAGACCAATGCTAATAAAATTTACAGCGACTAATCCACTGATGATAAACATCGCAAGGTAAATTAGTCATTCAGAACTGTAAAAAACTAACCAACTTATTAGCGGTAGTTTTGAATTTTTTCATACAAAGTAAAAAAAGCTGTTAGGAGTCCTACAGGAAAAATAAAGTTAAAATAACTAACTATATTGAATACTAAAAATATCTTCTGGAAAAACAACCTGCTACTATTTTTTCAAATGCTGCTTCGAAATCAGCTTTAGTAACACCGATAACTTTGTCATCTCTTCGAGCAGCATGCAAAGCAGCTTCATTGCATAGACGTGCAATATCAGCTCCAGACATTCCAGGACACCAGCCCGATAGACGTTCTATGAGTTCATTTTGTACAACATCAGGAGCAAGTCGATATTTATCTGAAATTGAAGAGGATAAGATCGAATACAAAGTGAATAGTTAAAATGTGAAAAAAAAGTCGAACTTCTGAATGGAAAAAGGTAGAAAAAAAAACATTCCAACAGTTGATTGAATTATTACTCAACTATAAATAATGAATTGGGAAGTACAAGAGATTGAATTTAATTGTTTTATGGAGTGTTGATATTATTTTGATGATACAGTTCTATAGACAAAAGGTTTTAGATACATAGTGTTAAAGCTGTACAGTTCACAAAACAATGACTGTTTAGGCATTTGTAAACATGTACTTAACTAGCTTAAAATTTTCAAAACTATTTATATTCTGATATTAGAAATGATATATCTGTATTTAAAAGTTTAAACATTTTTATTAACAATAGAAATTATTCATATTATTCTAATTTGAACCAGTTAAATGGAAACACTTGGAATAATGATATATATTTACTAGTCTATTTGAAAATGACAATAAATCATGTTACAATATTATTTCCATCAATTTATGTTTACTACCCTTTTGAAACTGTCTATTAACTGATTAACAGCTATGCTCCGCACAAAATGTCATATTTTTTGTTTTTAAAGTATTTATCAAGATGGAAATTAGTTACTCAATAGGTCACATAAAATGTAGGAACTGGTACAAATGTACGTGGGTTCAAGTTGTTGTATTTCACATTAGTACAATGAGAAAATAACTTAACACCATTATGAACAGTAGTAGTGAACTAATTGTCAAGACTATAACCTAATGAAGAACAACTGAAAAAGAGATAGTAAAAATATGCGGGAATTATAACCTAAAAAAAATGCGATAAAGATAATGAATGTAAGTACGGAAATAAACAACGTTGGTTTTAAGTCTTATCCTAAGAAATGAACTGTATGAATCTTATTCAGAAACAAACACTTTGTGGTTTTCCCTTTAACTATGGCCTTCATTAACTTTATATTTAATTCAGTAATCTTATCGAACACAGGGAAAAATTTTGATTGTTAATGTATAGTTGATCATTCTCTCGTATAACTGTTGAGAACATGAAATCCTCAAAATACAATCTATGAAGAAGGAAACCAATATAAGCTTAAAGTAGGATTTAAAGCGCATTTTTCAATATATTTTTATCATATTTCTTTATGAACCTTCAATTCATTTTTTGTGATTTGAGTTCAGTGATGTATACACAGATTCTAATCATTGTAATCAACATATAACTGATTAACTTAAGTGCAATATTATTCTTCATTCATCTGAGGTCTTCACTAATACATTACTTCTTGTAAAACTTCTTTCTCATCAACTGCCCAAAGGATTATTGTTGAAGTGTTGTGTATAAGTTGTTTAGTCTATTCAGTTAACACAGATACCACTTCATATCTAAACAATCCCCTAAATGTCTACATTTTCAATTTACAGCAATAACAGTGAATATTTTCGGGACTAACAGGATCCAGTTCTCTGTTTGACACCATAAAATGTTCGACGATATCTATTTTTTGGCTTTATGGTGATATAATAGAGGATCTTCAGATACTTATGAATTAGTGTTAGTAAATTATTACTCTTCACATTGGATATAAACTACAATCAAGAAGAAATGTTCAACAAAAGAATGAATTTCTAGCTACATTTCAGTAACCAGTACAATAGAAAATGTTCAGAAGGAACACAAATATCTACAGGGTTCATTAAAAGCGACCAACACGTCTCAATTACATGTAAAAGATGTTACAAAAAAACCTTAACTAATGTTTCACGAAGAAACAGATGTATATAAAGTCATAAAATGCATTTAGTAAACTGTTCCACATCAAATATTTAACATTGGAAACTACATCTACAAAATACTTTCTATTAAAGAGCATTCTTTTTAATAAATTGTTTTTGCTAACTACGATGTCGGAACAGTTGATAAAGAAAATCATTTACCTAATATGACTCTTTATTTGAAGTCAATTTGATACCAACCATTATTTATCACCAATCAGTTTGCTACATAGTTCCTTAGAGAAACAAATGAAGGAACGGAATACCCAGTCTCTATTAATCTATGGAACTATGCAGTTTACTTTTTCGATTTCCTAACTGAATGGTTGTACGATTTCAGAAATGTGACTAATTAACCAAAGTACATAACCTAAAACATAATTGCAATCGTTCAGTAAGACTCATTTCACACACTTTTATATGGGAATTTATATAATATCAGATTCTGTAACACAAAATTACACATAGCTACTGATTTTTAAAAAAAAAATAAGATTGAAACGAAATACGATAAAAAACCCTTTCACACACACCGATATATACAGCAAATATTTCTTTGCGTTCAGCTAGATTTGGTAAATTAATAAAAATATGCCTATCAAATCGTCCTGCACGTAATAGAGCTTTATCTAACATATCAGCTCGATTTGTTGCTCCAAATACAATCACGCCTTCAGTTGTATCCATTCCATCCATTTCTACAAGTAGTTGATTCAATGTTTGTTCCATCTCAGATGCACCACCACCACCGCTATAAAAAAAAGTAAACAGATAAAGTTTACATAGAACACATGCAAATAAGAGGAGAGAAAAAAGTTATTATGGTAAACTAAATATATATTAACACCCCCCTCCAGAGTATAGAACCAATTGTGCAAATGCTGATTGGCTATGGGGTATTCCTTGTTCTTAAAACTTAATCGGAACGTGACAGAATAAAACAATTGAGTTAACCTCTGTGTACATGGAACTTACCTCACAACACACCATAAATAAAAAATTACAATCTGTTCCAAACTAGGATACTTGGGATACAAAGTTGGAATACTAATAATAATAGGCTTATGACTAATTTAAAATGGCTTTAGAACAACAAAAAAAGACATGAACAACAATTGATGAGTCAAATAAAAACTTGCAGTTCAGGGAATATTAAAAATTCTATGCACTAAATGTTGGTAATCTCATAATAAGAACTAAAACAAATGATGCATTTGTAAGGGTTGTTTGAACAGAAAAGATGCAATAACCTAAACAATTAGAGGAAATGAATAACGGAATGAAAAAAAATATTCACGTTCAGTTTCGAAAACAAAAAAAGCACTTCATTTTGATCAACAAGAATTGTGCAGATCGGGTCTTTTTATTATTATTTTGTTCTATTATCTTGGGAAATTCATTCAAATAGTTTACAATATATTTCCCAGACTAACAATCAGCAACTATATACACTGGGTAGGAATAATGGATTCGAGCTTTCTTAAGCCTTTCAAAATATCCTAGTTCGGTCAAGATCAACTACTGGTGTAAAAATTAGAGACTTGATTAATTATTCAACAATTTCAGGATTATTTTTTATCATTATCCTATTGCTAAAAGAATTTTCAAATAATGTTCATAATGCGATAACGAAAAAATCAGAAAAAATAAACTGGATTGGGTTTAAAACTTTCTCCAAGTATCCACAGAGAACGTTCTTATTATTCTCTTAAAGATTCGGAAATCCCACAATGAATATATTCAACTGGTATATAAAATAGATGGAATGTGGCTTGCAATGAAATTCAGGACGCGCATTTCATCTTTATGTAAGACACGTCAACTTGATGTTCCTGCAGGCCTAAACCATTTCAAATTGATTACTAAACTTGGTTACAACACTTAAAAATTTCTATCAAATGCTTGTCTACGCAAAGATCAAAATTTCCTAACTAATAACATAATAGTTATTTTCCCATTTAATAATATAAATAACCCAACAAATATGTTAACAGTTTGCAAGTAAAATAAACTCAAAAAGGAAATATTTTTTAACGCTATAATCATCATAAAAAAATTACCTTCCATGACTGGCAGAATCACGACGTCGACCAAGAGAATCAAGCTCATCTATGAATATTATAGCTGGTGAATAAGAACGAGCTACTTTGAAAAGCTGTCTCAATCGAAGAGCACCAAGTCCACCAACAATCTCTACAAATTGTGGTCCAGCCATTGAAAAGAATGGTACTTCAGCTTCATTGGCCAATGCTTTAACCTAAATGGTAAAAAGGTTTCAATCTATAACAATTATGACTAACAATAAAATTTATTTTCAATGTTTCTGTAATATATTGCCAAAATTTGAGAAAAGCAATATTGCATAAAGAAAGAATCACTAGGAAAAAAACTGGTCAGACGAATTAATCAGATTATTACTGATATTTTATGTCAAAACTCGCAAATAACAAGAAAGAGAGATTCTCCATCATCTCAAAGAGAGATTCATCGAAAAATCAATAACTCAACAGTAACATGAAGACAACAGTGTTCACAGAGAAAGAAGTTTCTTCCCGAAAATTTGTGCGCAGAAATAGACAGAATGGAAGATATATGACGATTTAATATTTTATGCTTTTAAATTCACACATCATGAGGAAATTCTGAGAAACATTAAGTTTACTATATAACAATATTACTTTTATATACCCAAAAAGGAATTTAAAGGACCTAGTTATTTCACACATTTTAAACTTAATAGAACAACTAAACAAGTTGTAAAAGGACTTTATTAAATTCAAAAAAACTAAATATCACACAAAACATACGAGTAAGGTTTTTCCAGTTCCCGGTGGACCAAGTAGGAGTGCCCCTTTTGGTAACTTGGCACCTAATGCTTGATACTTTTGAGGATTTTTTAGATAAGAAACAAACTCCATGACTTCTTGTTTACAGGCATGAAGACCAGCGACGTCCTAACGTAGTATTTGAAAAAAAGTGGGAAGGAAATTCCAATAAATGAATACATCTTCACGATAACAACGCTGCAAAGACCAAAAAATAACTATACAACAACGAACTAATTTACTTTGGATTATTTTATTCTGTAGGCGTATTCGTTAAAAACTGATAACAGTTAGGGTCGGAGTGAAAACAAGGCAAAACTGGACAGCTGTCTCGTCCTAGTAAGGAATTCCTCGCCCATACATTTACGAAACCCTTAAGGGATTGAGGCCAGAGCCTTTAGGTTTTGTGGTGAGTGCACTAGGTTGATACTTAATGGCAGATATTTTTAGTGCCCTAAGCGAAATCGTAAGAATATTGTTATGTCATACTAGAATGAAATAACTGTCCAGTGATTCGTGGGTTTTAACGGCACTCTTTTTGAGTTTGATCAGTGACGAATTCAGTCGATAGAATCAAGCTGCTGGTTTAAGAAACGTAAGAGTTGGTACAGTTTTATATTAAGGCAAGTTATTAAACCAAAAAAATATGTACAATATATAAAATATATGTATTTAAATATTCTGAATTACCCACAATCAAAAAACAAGCAAACGCAGATAAAATATGTACCTACATGAGATAAAATTTACGGTATGATATAGTAGTGTAACATATTTCAAAAATTCTGACTATGGTTTGATGAACTGTGTCTTTTCAATGCATTACCAAAATTAAACCTTGGCAAAGAACATATACAAAATGACAGTTGTTTACTTGCATTACAAAAACTGATCCTGAACTTCCCTCATACTTCAGTGAGATTACTTAGTATATTCTATACTATGAATAAAAAATACTAGCAGAGGGCGGATAAATATATCCATGATCATAAAAATTTGAAATGCAACTCCGTTACCAAGCACACTATGAACCACAATGGAGGTGTGATACTCAAACGTACTAACCAGCTGCTAAAATTGAAATACATGTTGTAGAGTTGAAATCTGCAAACTATTCGTTCAAAGCAGTGTTATAAACGGTGGGTTAACATACTTAATCATGTGTTCATTTTACAGGTTGACAGATTTACGTTTCAAACAACAAACGCCACGATATGTTTGCGTAAACTACATTAAGTACAAAAAAGCGTAAAAACAAAAACTGTTTGGGTTTTCGACACAACTAAGCCAAAAAATTATTGTGCATTAATATGTCTAGACATATAGTCATTTTATCATGTCCCGTCCGAAAAATACATCGCCACCACAAAGACTACGGACTATATAAAATTAGAGCAATACTAGAGCTTTTTGATCATCACGTGATTCCCAATTTTAAGTTAATGACTTAACACTTCAATATTTCTGACCGGTCAGTATGCTGACAATGACGAATATTTTTTGTATCTCGTTTGCTCAAAAATCACAACCAAAGGAAGAGTTTAGCGATAAATGTCTCAATCAAAATACTTATCAAACCATTCAAGAAAAAGTATTATTTTACGACCTGCTTGGTAGCTGTTCATAATCTCTTAAATGTATCAACTACCTCGCTACCCATCTTCAAGTAAACATTGTGTTGAGTGTCATCATTCTTTCCGTACACTTATGTATTCAATTTGGATAAAATCTTCACATTACCTGTCAAGTAGCTGGAAGTGCATACGGTGAACATGTAAAGTTCACTAGACAATATCACATGATAACTGTACTACTCTGAGCTAAACTCCTCCCAGATATCATACCTTTAATTTGCTTAAAAAGACTAGTACCCTGTGTCTCGCAATTAGAAGCCAATGTCAAGTTGCAACAAGCATAATAATAGTGTATTTTCAAACCAACATCTTATATTGTTTGAAATCCCTTCAGTGTTGACAGCAATGTTCCTAACTGTATGACAATTTTCCTTAGTTGTCACCCATCAAACGAACAGTACTACTACTCATCCCCGATCTCCGATAAGTTTCAAAAGTCAACACAAAAGGTGTACATTTACAAGTGAAAAGACCGTGCCACTTATTTCAGGTAACTCTTGTATGTAAGTAGTTTGGTTACTTGACCACGCAATTATGAAGTGGAAATACAAACGGAAGTGGAGTACAAAAGACTACATATAAAATAAAAATTTATTTTTCATGTCCTGAAGAATAGTAGGTCCTTTGTTTGGTTTGCGTAAACATCATGTTGTAACAGGTGCGAGCGACGTATATTGAACAATTGATTCATGGTTGTATACGGAGTTACATACGTCCGAAAACTGCAAAACCATTGGATTCTTCTAAATGAAGAAGTGAAGTGTGTGGTGAGGTGGGCTTACAAATTCTGTGGCGCTTGGTATTTGATATAATTCCTAAACCTCGTATACAGCTCGCCTGGATAACTGTTAATAGATAACGCCCAACGGCGTACAAATCAGAAGACGAATACGAAGCGTTGATGACGTTTATTATCGTACCATACCGACCACATGCCAAGCGAGCGGACGAGTGAGTAGGATGTAAGTGTACATAAATATATACTTAGGAAAATGAATGAGTCATTGAATTATTTAAGCGACTAACGCTAAAGCTAATAGGATGAATATGAGGGTAGGCGGTAAGCAATGCTCAAGAACACAAGTTTATATAAGCGAAACAATAATAAAAGTAAAATGGCATAGATAAGTTATTGCTGTTGTACGATTGACTCTGTCTGTTATACGAGTTAATAAAAAGGCTTAAATAAATTAAGCGTAAACTCAAACGTACATAAGGTGACATAATAGATCCCCCACCAGAAAACAAAGATATAAAGTTGTCTGTGATTTCGAGAAAAAGTTAAATTTAACATAATGAAAAATATCTAAATTTACGAAATTAAGATGTAAGGTAAAACTTTTGTGTGAATTATTACAATTACATGTAAGCTTGAGTTCGTATACGTTGTCACTAGTATAACGACCAGATGCGTGGAGATGTCGTTGAATATCTATTTGTAAAATGGCTAGGGGAACAGAATAATGATTGAGGAGACAAGATGCGCAGAGTTTTATTCTTCTTTGATAGTGAAGTCTTAGCGTTGTTTCAGTCATTAGGGAGAGATGCACTCGACCTCGCTTGCTGAGAAACTTTACTGTGGCCTGAAGAAAGTACCAATACATACGACTGTATGTATGTATGTACATATGGCCCTCAGCCACACCTCGGCTGCCCAAGATCTCTAGTCAACCTGAAGGGCGAATAGATGTAAGTCCTCCTACTCTTTATGAAGTTGAAATAGCCACAGGAAATCTGAAGCAATGGGGGGGAAAAGGGACCTGACAAATTAGCTCCTGAGATGTTTAAGGATGGTGGTCCAGTTTTAGCAGCTAGATTGACTGAGATCTTAGGTAGAATCCCATCCGACTGGTCTTAATCGATGATTGTCCCAATTTATAAGAAAGGACAAAAGTCCTCTTGTGACAATCACAGAGGAATCAGTTTATTAATATAGTGTCTAAACTGTTAGCCTCAATAGTACTTAGACGCGAAAAGAAAGCTGGTGAAGAGAAGACTAGAGAAAACCAGGCTGGTTTCCAACGTGGCTGACAGGTCCTAGAACATAGACACACATTTAGGCGTCCTACAGTAGTTGTCTTCCTGGACCTAAAGGCAGCATTTGATACTGTCGATTGTGAGGTTCTGTGGCAGAGTCTGTCATCAAAAGGTGTACCAAAGAAGTACACTAAACTTATACTAGCTCTCTACTCGAACACCACTGGTCGAGTGAGAGCTTATGGCGAAGTGTCATCGGAATTCTCTACTTTGAGTGGTGTCCGTCGTGGCTGTTCACTCTCTCCATTCTTGTTTAACTTTGTTGTCGACATGCTTCTAGAGTTTACATTATCGTCGTCAGATTTTTCAGAGGTGGATCTTCTACCAGGAGGATCGCTTATTGACCTAGAATATCCCAAAGACATAGTTGACAAAATGCTAAGCAACAATGCAAGCATGTTCGGGAGGCGATTCTTCGCGGCAAAATGCAAAATGTTGCTTTATGATTGGCTTGTATCGACACCTGGACTAACGGTAGGGAGTGAAGCAGTTGAGCGTGTTAACCGCTTCAGTTATCGTGGGAGTCTCATCAGTGTTGATGGCCTGGTGGGTGACGAAATCTCAGCGCGAATACAGAAGGCTCGACTGGCTTTTGCCAACTTGCGTCACCTATGGCTCAGGCGAGATATCCTATTGCTAACCAGAGAACACGTCTACTGAGCAGCAGTTAGCTCCGTCCTACTTTATGGCTGCGTAACATGACCGGTGAGAGTAGAGGACTTCCGTAGGTTATTAGCATTCGATTATAGATGTCTGAGAAGCATTGCTCGTGTATCCTAGGGCAGTCGAGTAAGCAGTGCTATAGTTAGGAAACGAGTACTAGATAGGGACTGCAAATCAGTTGTAGAAGTAGTGGAACTTGATCAGTTGAGGTGGTTGGGCATACGTAACATATGTCCCAACCACCGACCGCCTCGACAAGCTACGTTTCGCGGTGTAAGAGTAGGTACGAAGAAAGCTAGAGCCGATCAAACCAAAACACGGAACAAATCCATGAAGGTGCTGGCAGCTGGGTTGAGTCATGTTGGTAAATGTAGACTACCTGGATGGGGTCTGCGAGATGATAGTAATCCATGGTTAGAGACTTTGAACAACATGGCGGAAAATCGTTTGGAATGGCGCAGATGTATCCACTCTTTGAGTTCTCTCAACTTATAGTCTTATGAATTTATCATCACCATCCTCTATCTAAATTTCACTGAATTATGCTTTTTGAATAGCATCCTCGAACCTAAATCTTCTTCATTGCCCTTAATACTTCTACTATTTCTACTAACGTGGGATTGTAACTGACAGTTGCGTCTTCGTGTTAATGTGGTATGGCAACTTGAACTGAACGTACGTACGAAGTTCTATGTTGTTGACTGACTGACTGACATACGACTGTATATGCCGGACAAATAAAAATGACTTGAATACGACGAAAATGAGTTTCTTTGAGGGGATAGCTCCAAACTCTATGTTCTGATTTACAGTTCAACAGGAACGAATATAATTGCAGAAATCGTGCAACGTTTCGGAGAAATGAATGTAGCATGAAGTTATACACGCATCAAATAAGGCGAAATGTGATAAATGTATGTACACTATGGCAAGGCTTATCGATTAATCAAGTGGCTCCGGATATGTTAGGAAAGTTCAGTCGAGATTATTGTCGAAAAAATTGAGGACGATGATCGCTGCATACAAATGCGATGAATAAATATTCGTTGCACATCGAGAACATAAGCTGCTACTACTGGGAGTATAACTCCAAATGTATGTCCATGATAGCTCACTGTTGCCAGCGTTGGGGTAGTTGAAAAAATGTTATTATCAGTGTGCAGGAGGTGGGCTCGACTGCTTATACTGATGGTTCGTGTGCACAACTACCGATTTACTAAGTATGTTGCAAGATGTTCGAGGTACGAGCAGCTAATCGGTACGTTGGAAATATCTGCCACATGATAATCATAAAGCCACTGCTGGGATAAGTGAATCAGAATATAATAATCAGATAAGGCAAAAAATGGGACGAGCTGACGTAAAGCAGGAAAATCGTCTCCGTTATCGTATACAGGATATTTCCTTGTGGTTTTTGAATGTCATGACGTGAATACAATATTCTTAGTATCATGATTCTATGAATGATTAATATAATTCCATAAACGTTATAATTTTATATCAATATGAATAAGGATTATAGTTCCTCCACGATAATACGATAATGATAATATGAGAACAATAATAACGATAATAGGATAATTCGCGAAATAGATTAATGCAACGAGTTGACATAGGAAAAAAATAATGGTATGACAATACAATTTTTGTATGTGCATATCCTCACTGAAGCGGCTTCCGTGCGTACGTCGGATACGAAATTGTGTTGTCTGCGTTGTTCCTTGAGTTTGATACGTTGATTCATTCGTCGAATGCATTAAGTTCGAGAGCTTTTTTGTCGACGTAATTCTGCAGGTTGTGTTAAGTTCAGCGTCGGGCTCACCACTCTAGTGGCCCGCGATCTGAATCCATTTTGAAAGAATGGTCGAGAATGCGATGAAATAAATCTTCCCTTCAAGTTTAGTATATCATACGTATGCGAACCCAGTTTATACGATAGCAGCAATAGGAGGCCAATTACAGTTTTGTGGATGAATTTATTCCATGCATTAATTTAAGAAGATAGGATGAGAACACAATGCGTAAAAGTAGACATGCACAGACGCACTCAGATTAGGACAACCAAGACAAAGGTAATAATTAGCAAGGTCAAAAGGTATGTGAATAATAACTCGGAGAGGAAGGGTTAATTAGTTTGTCCGAAAGCTGTGACAAGGCCTGTGGGCCCAACGTACTGGTACACACAATACAAAGCCCCCTTGTAGAAAACTATATATTAATTTGAAAAAATGTCAGTTTTCAAAAATAACACTGCAGATGTAAGCAGTTAGGCAGCGAAACAATATGAGATTTGATTAATTGATAAATGCCTGTACCACTTAACTACAACACAATAAACAGCAATGTCATTATTTTATTCAAAAAAATGAGCTTAGTAAAACTTCCCATGTCAAGAAAGTCAATTTTTAAAAAAAAAATATTAAACAGATGTTCTGTATTCAAATGAAAAACGATTATAGGTGTTTGGTGGGCATAGCCTGGTTTCGCATACTTAATCAAGTATAGATGATGCATTAAAATAAATGGTAAAACTGGGAAAACAAAGCTATCTGATCAGAAAAAACATGGATAACTTAATTATTTAAGATATGTAGTTCACATAATGGTCCAAAAACAAGTGAAATTTTTATTTCTACTCATTGGGATATTACCAAAAAATTACAATTATTTTAGTATTGATAACTTTCAACCCAATGCTCAAATTATTTGGAACTATCAAGTCCAACAATAGTATTAATAAGTGAAAACGTAATTAAAATAATATATACCTTAAATTTTACAGTGGATGTTGTAGGTCTGATTGTATTGAAACCAGTAACAGGGTCCCAGTTAAAGGGTGGACGAAAAGGAAATCGTTCATTTTCAGAATCAAAACCTGTACCAGAGATTTTTGATCGTTTAGTGTCATCATGATGCTTCGGAATATCCGTGGACTTGTATGAAATATTACGATTCGTTGTTCTTTCTAAGTTATTCTTTGAGAAAAACACTCTTCTACATACAAATATAAGCAATCCAGAGGATATTAATAAAAGACCAGAGCTTAATTTTAAACACCATCTTTGCATGAACGTGTTTAAAGGCCTAAGGATAAAATTAAAAACAAAAAAAAGTCTTTGAAAAGTTCAATATGTATTTGAAAACGGCATATCAATGTATGAGCAAAAAATAAGCAATAGAATGAATACTTAGATTCTTGTCCAGATTATTAAAAGACCAATTACCGGTTTTCATAAAGTAATTTTGATATGCACAGAATTCCGATCACATGAAAATGTGATCTAGTTAAGCTTTATGAGCGCTTTTAAACCTGCAAATACTACATTCTTAGTTTATGTATTCCGAAAAAACTACGTAACAGTTAACTTTGCCAAAGATCACAACCAGTTTAAAACCTAACAAGTGTAATAACAGTTGAAATTTTGCTGACCAACGAGCTGGCTAAAATAAATAACTGAAGCACAAAAATGAAACCAAGTTATCCAAGATATTTGTGATTCTTGGTATTTGTTATTAACAATAAAAAACCGTTGCTATTTAGGGCACTTTATCCCCTCAGCCTTAACAACTTTTATACCATTATTTACTGAACAAGACAAAGACTTGATAGAATATAACTACCAAAAGATTCACCAGTAAAAAGAAATGTTGAGTCATAATAATGGGATAGACAATGAGTTCTGAGATAAAAATAACGGAAAATAGTACTTAACCTGTATTCAGAAAGCTTATATAGCTATCTTAAAATGTTCATATGGTGTTAAAAAAACTTGATTCTCGATTTACGTTATCCTTATGCGTCATTCGTCAATTGATGCACTTCAACTAGACTTAACGAAATCAGTACCAACCAGCACTCATTCGGGGCATAATATATTTTCTCGAACAGCCGGGAAAAGAGTACAGAAATGAAACAAGAGTTTATATGAGAACTACATACACAAAGTTAACTGGTAGGAAAATTTTACCGTATGGACATGTCCACGAGCTCTTACTCGATGTCGAATTGTTGAGATTATTTTTTCAATGAAAGTAAGAAGCTTATCCATTAAAGGTTTGTCTTCCGAACATCGACAGTACCTGATAACATTACACGATGTTGCACATAAGATGTAGTACAAAATCTAGAGATATCACGTACTGACACTCCTGCATAGTGATAAAGGTCATATATCTATCATCAACCCGCTCTAATAAAGTAGCGTTTATATATCATTTTGAATAATGAATTGAGGAGTGTTTCTAGCCGTGAAACAAGCATAATCAATAACTTGTATTTGAACAGACGCTTTGTTGATGAACCACAAAATTCTACACATTTTAGCAAATTTACTTACAAATCAGACATCTGGATAGGGATGCGATCATGTTCTTCGATGCCCCACACATCCTCTAAGGATCGTACATTTTCCACGAACTCATTTACAGATGTTGAGTGCTTCAGAACCAACTAAAGAAAATTAAGGATGATAATTTATAGTTAAAATTATGATTAGGTAAAGAGGAAATATCTTTTAAACGTCTGGGAGTCATAAAGAAGCAAAAGTCATCTCGATGCATCAGTACATTGACAAGGCTATCTGGATAATGAAACATGAACCACGTTGAATACATAATAATTATGCCCCAATCGTTTAGCTCTGTTTAAATCTGAACTCATTAAATGAATCGATCAGTCAGTCTCATTGATAAAAAGGACCAAAAACATAAACTGTTAGTACAGTCCGAGATTGTATATAGTCACAACATAAAGAAAACGGGAGTCTTCAAAAACTTATGCCACAGAAAATTTTGATAGATTGAAACTCCTGTTTTGAAGGAAATTCTTAAGTCTACTACGTGTTAAATAGAAATAAAAAACTGACCTAAATTTCAGTATTCGTTACAGAAGCCAACTACTTGACATTGAAGTTACTTGATTTTAGTGTGACCAAAGTACTTTTAATGCATTACTTTATATGGGATTGCTGTTGAGTTTGAGTTTGGTACTTAAACAGAAAGAAATGAAAAGAAACTAAACCACCGTGAATTGTTAAAATTGGTTCATTCAGCTTAGGTACAGCAAACACAGTAACACATTGGTCCACTAGGAACAAGTTCTCTAATATGAACTTTAAACTCTGTGAGACAAAAATTTTGCACTTTTTCTCGTGATGATTTAGGCATGCATGTTAAACAAAATTTTGGCTTACAGGCGATTGGCCGTTTTGATAAGGAAGTACAAACACGTTGCCAGAAGACGTTATTTGTATTCTTTGGACTTCACCTTTTTCCAACATGGATGCAAGTACTTGAAAAGTTACTTGAGGTATATTAGGTACATTGACAAGTAACCACCACGCAATTAACATACAGATACATGAGACACCACTTGCGATTAATGAATAATTATCAATCCTGTTGGGGTTATTCTGAGATGGATCACCATTGGAATGACCACTGGAATAGTCTGTGGATAAACATTATTGCACTTAGCATTTTAATTACTAGCAACAGAAAAAGACCTCCATCTCCACTTAGATCCTGGTTTAAACTACATTTTAAAATTATTACAAGTAAATACAAACCAGATGTGCTGAATACTGCTTCGTACAGTGAAGTACTGGATATGTAGAGAGGCATATTCTTAAAGCAGGTACCGTGCCTAAGTACCTCAGATTGCCAAGACGGAGCAGCTGATTCATTGTGACCTCAAGTTCAATCGTCCGCTTAAGAAAGGGGTCCAATACCTTTTTCACGAGCTGGTATAAACCATTCGATTTCTTTGCGCTCGATTCTTGTTCTTTCGGTACGGTTCCAGGTGTTCGGTACTTTCAAATGGGTGGAAGTCTATCCACTCGACAGTCTAATTCTAGTCAGTTGGCATTTGGTTGTGAGTTTGTATGTCTCAGGATTTGAATGAAAATGTTTGTTTCAGGACTGTAGGGTTTCTGGATACTAACAGCTATCACATTAACAGACCGGAGATCAGTTATCTGCAATGTGGAGAATAATAAGAATAATAAGGAAAAAATTCTAATGCTAATATGAATAAAATTTCAGAACTAAATAACATATAGATGATTTAGTTTAATAATTGGTAGTGAAGATTGTGAGAGAGGACTGAAGTGTAAGCCAGGGAGAGGAAGCAGAGAGGATAGGCGAGATAGATAAAGTAAGTGATCTGAGGGGATGGTAATGATAACAACTAGCAGGTCTCAAGATACGTATCATGAACAGCTTGTCCAAGAGGGAGATGATAGTCCGTATGTAAGTACGTGATTATCAAGTCTCTTCTTAAAGCAGTCCACTGAGGGGGCTGTGGTCACCTCGGCTGGGAGAGCATTCCAAGCTGCGACGACTCGCAATGAGAAAAAGTGTGCACGAATCTGAGTATTCGCTCTTTGATATGCAATCTTTCGAGTACGTATTAAATAGGATTAAAAATAATTGCGGGGTGATAGCACCAATTTGTCTTCGCATAATCTGAAGAGTCGCATTTGCCTTAGCTGCATCCCCTACATAGTTTGGACTGCTGTAGAGGCTTTCTGTGGTTATTAAAGCGATATCGCGCTCTGAGGAGACATTAAGGAGCGGACTTTCATTCAGGGTATAGATCGTTTGCGTCATGTGAGGCAGGAGATGCATGAACTGGCACTTCGGTTGGTTGAGTTTTAAACGGTTTTTCACTGCCGATTTCTCAATAGATGTAAGGTCCTTTTGAAGCTCAGTCGAATCCGCTTCGCTTCTAATGGACCTCCAGATCTTCGTATCGTCTGCGTAGATCAATGCCAGTGAGCTAACTGAGCCTAACAGGTCGTTAATAAATATCAGGAAGAGAAGTGGGCGTAAGATGATCCCCTGTGAAACTCCCGATGTGGATACTAACCAGCTCACGTGCACTCTATTTACGTTGGATGATATCTCTCGCTGACTGGCAGTGATCATCTACTGTCAGCCTCCACCACTCCCGTGGCCATAAGGCATGTAGGAGGACCTCTCTCATACGCGTATAATTTGCCCAGTGTAGGGTCCAATATCTCCAAACCCTATTATCTAAGAGTGACATCTGAGGTATCCACGTTCTACTAAAAACGATGTATCAGGTATTCTATGGCACAAAAAAAACAGGCCACCATTAATTAACTTTAAATATTCAATGTTTTGGAGAATTTTCTTCGTCTATTCCTACCGAATTATGATCCACGGTTGATGCAGTTGGCGTTCTAGATTCAAGTGAATATGGAACCGATCCAAATAGACGAATAGACGGATCAAGCATTTAATAGAGAAAAATGAAGAATTATCTGGTAGCTGTGTACAGTAATGATTTCTTGGCATACTATTCTGCTCCCTGTTTGAATTGCAAGTACAATACAACATGTTCGATTGTCCTCACAGTGCTTATTGCAATACTGGTCCGGACGTGACTACTAGATGTGATAATCACAGATCATTAGGTAAAGATTCCTGATGCACAGTGAAGTCTTCAACATCGTTTTCAAGACGAATGACAGATACTGAGGGAAGTTACAACACTCAAAAGCGGAATAGCCACATGTAGAGGTAAATAAACCCCAAGAATAAATAGCTCTATAAGTCCTCAGCATTACTGCCAACCTCATCAACCTTGCTAGATACACCTTAACTGAAAGCGCTCAATCAGGCTTCTGAACTAAATAACGTTTGGGTACGTAATGATGCATATTTCTCGCAATAACTGGTTAGATTGGATTGTATTTTTCTGAACTCAGACCACCTGTCAGATATGCTGTTGAACGTCTTCATACCTGACTAGTTTATAAACAAATGTGAATACCCTTGATTATGATGTTACGGACGATAGCGTAGTCAGGCAACGAATATTCATGACATCGTCACGTATCCTTAACAAATTTCTCATTCAGCTTCCTATTGGTTGGGAAATATATATTAATTCAAGTGAGGAGTATATTTTTTTCTTAGGACCATTGTATTTCTGTCATAGTGATGTAAGAATTGTACGCAACAACTGTTAGGTGCCATAACAGATATTTTATACTTATTTAGTATGCCATAGTGAGTTTAGAAATTCCTTATCAAAAGTCAGAGCATTACGACCTAAATTACAATTAATTCCAAGTGTAATGGTTTTGTCTAAAATCTCATATGTAGCGATGTCACGGACATTCGGTGCCTGACTACGCTATCGTCCGTAACATCATAATCAAGGGTATTCACATTTGTTTATAAACTATTCAGGTATGAAGACGTTCAACAGTATATCTGACAGGTGGTCTGAGTTCAGAAAAATACAATCCAATCTAACCAGTTATTGCGAGAAATATGCATCATTACGTACCCAAATGTCATTTAGTTCAGAAGCCTGATTGAGCGCTTTCAGTTAAGGTGTATCTAGTAAGGTTGATGAGGTTGGCAGTAATGCTGAGGACTTATAGAGCTATTTATTCTTGGGGTTTATTTACCTCTACATGTGGCTATTCCGCTTTTGAGTGTTGTAACTTCCATCAGTATCTGTCATTCGTCTTGAAAACGATGTTGGAGACTTCACTGTGCATCAGGAATCTTTACCTAATGATCTGTGATTATCACATCTAGTAGTCACGTCCGGACCAGTATTGCAATAAGCACTGTGAGGACAATCGAACATGTTGTATTGTACTTGCAATTCAAACAGGGAGCAGAATAGTATCCGAACACCATCTAGTTCAGATGCCTGATTGAACGCTTTCGGTTAAGTTGTATCTATTAAACCTATTGAGTTTAGCATTACTGTAGAGGACTCAAAGAGCTATTAGTTTTGGAGATTTACTAACCACTGCGTATGCATATTTATGGTACTCATGTGAGCTAACGAACTAAAAGAATGAATATTAAAATTTATCAGGCACAAACACAATATCATCTGTCTGTAAGCCATATTTTACTATTATATTGACTGATAAATATTTGTGACGCTTCGAAGAATCGACATTACGGTCAATCATAGCTTTACTTCAATCTAATACAATTTCTTAATTTCCTGTCATAAGAGTTACAATTAAAATAATGATTTTTTCTCAGACAACAAGTACGCCAGTTTACAGGCAAGATCAGAACGTCAAATTGCTGACATTATTACTGTGAAAGGTTGTTCAATTACATAAATATTTATATAATACACTGGCTTTTTATAGAGGGCTAATATTTTTTACATAAAATTATAGATAATGTTTTAGACTCTGGAATGTATAATACGATAGTTGGAGTGAGTTATGTCGTTTGCGTTGTGACGAGTTAAAAACAGTTCTGCATATAAAGACAAGTGATAAGGTAAATGTGTTATATCAAGGCTAATATTTAAGACGTCCAATGAGATGCTGAAATAGGGAAAGAAGGAGAAAAGCACGAGAAACTGAACATAAAATGTTCTTGTTTAAAGCTGATGTATGATTCGACAGACACTTTTTTGAATACAACAATGAAGACATATATATTTAGACCTTCATTTTTCTGTATCAGACCAGTTAGTGTAAAATTGTGTTTATGCGAGTTAATGAAGACAAGTCACTAGTAACGTACTAAATAGGTGAATAATCTTATGAATAGAGGAGATTCGAAAGGTCAAATTTGTTAGAAATCATGTAGATATTTTTACTGGTTAGCGTTTTTTTGGCAAGTTAGTTTTTGACGGAATGGGGTCGCCAACCCCATGTCCAACCCTCCTCCTTTACCCGGGCTTGGGACCGGCAGTAGCCCCGAAGGTTCTACTGGCGGAGTTATCATGTAGATATACAGAATATAAAAAGGAAGGCCCAGTGATTTGATGCACTAGTGATATTTCATTTGCTTTTTTTATATTTTCTCAACACTCTTCCTTAGAAAGTCGTGGGTGAACTCTTTTTCAACATAATTGCCAGGATCAGCTTGACAGGATTTCTTGACCGGAATTAAAACTAGTTCAGGGCTACACATATGAGTCAAAGACATGGTTGGCATGGAAAAGTAACATCAACATCATTGTTTAATTACATCCGGCTAGATCGTAAGGAGTCTTAAGTAAACAAAATGTCCTGCTCCAAAGACATGGGTGCCCACCGTCATGATTGCTGGTTAGATACACCACCCTCCCTCCTTTTGTGATTTTAAGTTCTCTTACATTCTGTGGTATGTTTTAATAAATGTTTTAGTCTGAGCCCCATTTTTCGCACTTCCTGTTGAAATACACTGTATCTACTAGCTCCATGTTACAAACAAACCAAATCACTTTAGCTTCTGCATATTGGACTACATATCCATATAGCTTATTACACTGATGTTAAGTTAATCAATGGCGAAAATTGTAAGATATGGATCAGTTAGTAAATAGTTTGCGTATAGGAAGGATAGGAATCTGACGACCGTAAATGAAGAATTCCGGCGTTAAATATGAGTAAGGCGATAAGTAAGAAAGCAAAGTGTTGGAAAGTTAGAAAGTTATGGAAATAAAAATTTAATTAACTGTTAACACATGAACAAGGAGGAACTCATAGTGAAACGGGGTAGTTCAAGCTTATTAGGATCGACGGTAATTGAGCAGCATCTACAGGTTTCGTCATTTATCTTTCCACCAGAAATAGAAACTAAAAGTAATGTGAGAGATAAGAAGATAATGATACGACCTTAGATAATAACGAAACTCAGAATGTTAATGGCAGAAGACTTAATAAAACTGAAGAGATAATAATCTTTTGTCCCTAAAGAATGGGAATTCGCTGACCGT